GCTGGGTGACCCCTCTCGGGGTGAGTGTCCCCTCGGGCTGGGTGACCCCTCTCGGGGTGAGTGTCCCCTCGGGCTGGGTGCCCCCCAGGCTGGGTGACCCTCGGGATAGGTGCCCCTGGGCGGGGTAACCTCCGGGCTGGGTGACCCCCGCGCTGGATGCGCCCCGGGGTGGTCGCGGGCCGGACCTGACCCCCCCCTCGGAGCATGCGCGCGCCGGACCTGCACCGCACAGTTCGAATCCCGGCTCTGGCCTGCAGCAGGCCGGCCTCCTCGCCAGTCTGTGATCGGGGGTAACTGCCGTGCCGCCCTCACAGCGCGTGACGTGGCTGGAGGGTTCAGGGGCGATCGTGTACCCCGGCCGAGGCCGCTGCTGCTGTAATCGTTACCTGAAGCTCGGGCGCTGTCAGCCCCACGGCAATGGCCATCTCTACTGCCTCGGCCTCCAGGTTCATCGCCGGAGGGCGAGCGGGGACAAGCAGCGCAGCAAACCCCAAACGCAGGAGCCACCGCCGCGGGGCCCACCCAACTCGCCCACCACGGACAATGGCTGCCGCGTCGCCCACGCGAAGACTACAACTCCCACAAGGCAATGCGGCGCGCCGCCGCGCTCCACCAATGGGAATCCCTGTACGTCGGGCAGCCAGCCAATAGGGAAGCTGGACGACACAATGAGGGCGGGGCGGGAGGAGCGGCTGTTCCCGCCCGTGATGAGGGCCACTCGGGACGTTGTCCCTGCCGGGCGCGTCCAGGCGGCACCGAAGGGCTCTCGGAGGGCTTGGCACTGACCTTTCCTGGGGGCCGGGGGCCGGAGCGCGCCTGCGCAGTTGCAAGGAGCGCTCAGGGGCCGCCTGGGTGGTGTCCGCGGTCCTGACGTCTCTGGGTGGGGCAGCCTGGCCGAGGCCCGGGAAGCGCACGGGGCTTGGGGCTCTGATCGTGGACACAAAACCCCGTGCAGTCCGGCCGGTTCCCACCGACAGCGACCCTCTATCGTGTTTCCAGCCCGCCAACCTTGGATTCCTACCGCCAACCTTTTGGTCAGTGGGCAGATGCGCTATGCAGTACACACCACTATCTCCTCTAACAGTGAGATGAAGGCTTTTTAGGTTTCTAGTTGTCATTTGAGCTAACGTTTACTAATCGGATTGGTCTCCCACTCAACCGTCCATGCACATTTCCTGTGACATTAGTTACCAACCCACGTTGTAGCTGCAGCCTTGACATTGAACCTGCGCTCTGGGCGCCTGTGTTTCCACTACTCCTACCCTGTTCTGCCCCTGCCTTGTGGGCGTGAGCCCTGGGCTGATGCCTCCCTCCTGGTACTGATCACCTTGTGGTCCTATCTGTTGTCTGTCTGGTCAGTGTGTGGATCCACGGAGGTAAGGTGTTTGTTGTTTTTTTTTAAATTTCTATGTTACACTCGTTTGCCCGCAGGTGAGTTTTGCTGCAGGTTTGAGAAGTGACTCAGTTTGAAAAGTGTGTAAACATGTGTGTATATCTCTTTTTTACGTGGAAAAAAAGGGAGTATGATCCATTGGATAGGCGATTATTGAAGAAAAACACCCGTCTGAGTCTAAAGGGCCAACATTTAATCCAAAGCAAAGAGGAGGGCATAAGGGAACAGAGAAACTAGAGAACTTGAAATAGATCGACCAGATTTCCGTTAACGGGAATGCTGACGCATGTGAAAAATAAAACTAACGTCAGGGATTGATTTGTGTGGAAACTGTTAAATCAGAGCCTAACTCACTGTGTAAACTTTGACCAAAACCACAGAAGTATCCAGTTGTTTAAAAAGAATTCAAAACTTCTGGTTTCAACTTAACAGTCATCAAATAGCTTCTAAAAATATACTAATAGTTAATTATATGTTGTATTGTTATGTGCCGTCGAGCTGCCTGCGACTCAGTGATCCTATGCACAATAGCTCTGAATCCTGTCCTATCCTGAGCCAGTCTCACTGTCTCTGACACACCGTGCCCCCATTACCCCGTCACTGTTATCAGTCCATCTTATCCAGGGTTTTTCTCACCTCTCTTTTCCCTCCACCGTTCCAAGCATGATGTCTTTTCCAAGGACTGGAAACATGCCCAAAATGTGTAAGAAAGAGCTTCAAAATCCTTGCCTCCAGAGAGCAACCTGGTTTTACATTCTCCAGGACAGACCTGTTTTTGTTCTCTTGGCAGTCTATGGTATGTTCAATACTCTTCTCCAGCACCACAATTCAAAGGCATTGATTCTTCTTCTGTCATCCTTGGTCACTGTCTAGCTCTCTGATGCATAGCAAATAATTGTGAAGACTATGGCCTCAATCAGGTACACCTTAGTCTCTAGAGTGATATCTTTGCTCTTCAGCACTCTGGAGAGGTCTCTCACAGCTTATTTTCCTAAAGCACTTTGTCTCTTGATTTCCTCGCTGCTGATGCCAAGAGCATTGATTGTGGACGCAAGTAAGCTGAACTTGTTAACAATCTTAATCTCTTCTCCACTTGTCTTGTTTCTGCCAATTGGCCCAGAGAAGAGACTCTTTTGTTTTCCTGATCTTGACCTTTAGTCTGTCTGCAGTCTGACTGCAGTCCTTGACCTTCTGCAGAAGACGCTCAGGTCCTCCTCAGTTTCAGCGAGCAAGGCTATGTCATGTGCATAGTGCAGGTTACTGATGATTCTTCCTCCAATTCTGATGTCAGTTCCTCCTCATAAAAACCAGGCTCCTGAGCAATCTGTTCTGCATATAGATTGGAAATATAGGGAGATAGGACACATCCCTGACACATTCTTTTCCTGATTTTGAACCATGTAGTGTTTCCTTGCTCTGTTCTGATACAGCCTATATTTACAAAAAATATGAAAGTAAAATTTAATAGCAACCCTATGAACAACTGATCTCAATCCTGTCCTGTCCTGTGCCATCCGCGTCATCTGATATGCCTGAGCCCACTGCTACAGTCATTATGTCAGTCAGTCCATCTAACTGGTGGTCTCCTACTGCTTCACTCACCTATCTTCTAATCATGATAGCCCCTCCTTACAACATGCCTGAAATATGAGAGGAAGTTTCACAATCCTTGCTTTCAGGAAGCAGCCTGGTTGGACTCCAGACATGTGTTTGTTCTTTTGGCAGTTCATGGGATATTCAGTACTCTATTCCAGCACCACAGCTCAAAGGCATCGATTCTTTTTCTGTCATCCTTATTCACTGTCCAATTCTCAGATGTACAGCAATTGATTAAAAAGATCAGGGCTTAATTCAGGTGCTCCTTAGTCTTTAAAATGACATAACTTCCCTTGCACCATAGCACTTTGGATCTATGCTTAATATTTATAATTAGGAGGCTCTGGTGGCCTAGCTGTAACGAGCTGCACTGCCAACCCAAAGGCACCCAGTTTGAATCTACCAGCTGCTCCAGAAAAGAAAGATGGGCAGCCTCCTCCTATGCAAGTCAATGCCTCTGAATACTTGTTGGGCGTATCGGCTATGGGTCAGTTCCAGCTTAACAGTACTCAACAATATATATAACTATATATACATACTATGGCAAGAAGCTGTGTTACAATCCCGAAGGCATATGGTCTGGATCCTACCAGATACCCTGCATGAAAGATGAGCAGTCTCCTCCCAGGAGATTAACTGCCTATGAGAACACACTGGAGGGTCAACTATGGGTCGTTTCCAACTCGACGGTACACAACAATACTGTTGTTGTTGTTGTTATGTGCCGTCGAGTCGCCTGCGACTCATAGCGATCCTATGTACAAATAGCCCTAAACTCCGCTCTGTCCTGTGCCAATCGCACTGTCTCCGACACTTCCATCCCAATTATCCCAGTCACTGAATCAATTTACCTCATAGAGGGCCTTCCTCTTCTGCGCTGTCCCTCCACCCTCCCAAGCATGATGTCCCTCTCTAAGGACCGGTCTCTCCTCACAACATGTCCAAAGTATGTTAGACGGAGCCTCAGAATCCTTGCCTCCAAGGAGCCACCCGGTTTAACCCTTTCCAGGACAAATCTGTTTGTTTTCCTAGCAGTCCATGGTATTCCCAGGCTCAACAATGTTAAAGAAGAAAGCATTCTGACACAAAGCAGCTACCAAAAACCTGAGAGTGATTACATAGGTAGAAAAAGATGTATGCTGTATAGGTGTAGGAGGCCATATGGAAGTGCATACATGTTAATATATAGGTAGAGCTGAGGGCAGTTGTATTGACATACAAGATATATATATCTTGATCTAATATATATATATTAGAGCACATACGCCAATCACACAACCCTGCTTGCTGACACAGAGGAGGACCTGAAGCACTTGCTGCAGAAGGTCAGGAACTGCAGCCTTTGATATGGATTGAAGCTCAACATCAAGAAAACAAAGATTCTCACCACTTGGCCAAGTGGCAGCATCAGTATGGATGGTGAAGAGACTGAGATAGTTAACAGTTTTAGCTTACTTGCCTCCAAAGCCAACACTCTTGGTACCAGCGCTAGGAAATCAAGAGACGAATTGCACTGGGAAAGTCAGTTGTCAAGGACCTCTCCAAAGTACTAAAGAGCAATGGCGCCAGACTAGAGACTAAGATGCGCCTGATTCTGGCTATAGTCTTCACAATTGTGTGCTGTACATCAGAGAAGAGAGCTGGACAGTGACTAGGGATGATAGAGAATTGATGCCTTTGAGCTGTGGTGCTGGAGAAGAGTGTTGAATATACCATGGACTGCTAGGAGAACAAACAGGTTTGTCCTGGAGAGGGTGAAGCTGGGCTGTTCCTTGGAGTCAAGGATTCTGAAGCTCCATCTGACATACTTTGGACATGTTGCAAGGAGGGACCAGTCCTTGGAGAGGGACGTCATGCTTGGGAGGGTGGAGGGACGGCACAGGAGAGGAAGACCCTTGATGAGATGGATCAGTTCAGTGATTGGGGTGTTGGGAGTAGGTGTGTCAGAGACAATGAGGTTGGCACAGGATAAAGCAGGGTTTAGGGCTCTTGTACATAGGGTCGCTAGGAGCTGCGACTCGATGGCACATAACAAACAACAGAGCACATAGAGGTGCACAGTTACAGAAATTTCACAGATATATCCAAACACAATTATACAGAGTTCCTAAGGCTGAAGGTTAGGTCAACTGACACAACATTATCATGAAAGATAAAAGTTCTAGTTTGGTAAGCAAGATGTAAACCATCTAAGAAGATTGGTTTCTGTCTGGTGCAAAGCAAAGTGAAGGAAACCAAAGACCTGAGGAAGCAATTAGTCTACAGGACTAATTATCCATGTAAACCACATCTTCTTCTAGTCTTAGACTAAAAACTGGATAGTACCCAGTTACCAATACCAGCCCACCTGACCAGCAAGACAAGAGAAAGCTCTGATTTAAATGGGAGAAAAACATGAACCAAAACTCAAATTCAAGAAAAAGGCAGACTGGTGGACTGGGAGACCTAAGACACTATTAACCT